TAGTAATAATAGTATTAATTTTATTTGCTTTTAAGTAGCCTGTTGTTACTTATTAGAAATACAACAAAACATAAATAAAAAAAAGTATGATAAACCGATTGACGAACTTGCAATGATAATTAGGCCTATTTATATTAAATTTAGCGTTTCGAAACTCCATTGGCGCTCCGTATATTTGTTGAAAACAAACCGCGACCGAAATGAAGCGCGACCGAAACGAAGCGCGACCGAAACGAAGCGCGACCGAAATGATCTGTATTCCACTAGAAGGGCCACGCCCACCTTTGTTGAACTTGAAAATAGGACTGACTCTTAGACCGAAAGTATTGCTGACGTTCAATTTTAAATTAAATTAAAATTATGTCGGTTAATTAGATCAAACAAATTGGCATTTTTTGAGGAAAGGGGAAGGGTGAATACCAGCATGTCAACACCAAACCTCAGCCCCACCATGGCAGTGGGTGAGGCGGGGGAAAAAAATCAGGATGGAGCATCTTCAAATGCCGGAAATAGCTTTCTCAGACTTAAAATATTACAAGGTTGATGGGCTGAGATGAACAAATTCAGTGTGCAGTGGCAAGTTCTATGGTCTGATATAGCACTTTTATAATTAAGTAGCAAAATAATTTCTTTTGCGAAATTGTGAACGAATTAGGGGGGTAGGGAATTATCAGGAGTTCAACACCCACCTCAGCATGCACCAAGGTTGGGAATGAAAGTATAAAATAATAATGTAGCGACTGTAGGTTCCTTGAAATTGCACTCCCAGACGGTTTCAAGCGGTTTCCGAAGGGTCTTACGGTGATAATATTTTAATACACAACAAAATTTTTAAAAATTATTATAATCTCTTTGGTGGGGCTCGATGATCAGTTGAGGGGCGCTAATTCGCAAAATAAGGTGATTAGAGAGTTATAGAGAGCAGTTGACTATGCTGATGCTAATGTCACCGACGAGAACAAAGTGGGCAATATGGCAATTTAGGGGTTTCAAAGGCTTATTTAATTGATTTTAGAGTCTATTAGTATTTAGCATGTAGAAAATACATATTTTTTCCCCCCCCCACTCCCCCCCCCCCCCCCCCCCCCGGTGCGCTGTCGTAACTTGCTTTTCAGTAATCCAGCTGAAACACAAAGAGAACAGTGATGGGAATTGACTTCAAAATCTCTGTGGTCTGTTACACAGTTTGTGAGCTGAACGTTAATTCACTTTAATGGTTCTAATCGTCATTCTATCATCGTAGGTGTATGATAATGTGCGCCCTCAGCAGTATTGAACATGTAGAAAATACATATATTTTTTTCCCTCCCCGACTCGGTAACTGCAGTAAGTTTCGTGACTTTTCCTCAATTGAAGACCACCTCACTTTTTCCATTAGGTCGAGTGCCTCTAACTGAACGTAACTGACATTAGGTTAAACTTAATTTGCTCATGCCTTTGCTTGTACCATATTTATTTTCCAGGGCATGGTTTTTCCGATCAGTTTGTTGTTGACTTATATTATAATGAATAAATACAATTTTTTCCCGAACTAGCGTTTCATCTCATTCTATCTACCTAAAGTTTTTGAATGTTTATTATCATTTTTTATTCATTTTGTCTCCCGTTTTCAGTTCCCACTAACAAGGCTTATTTTCTAAAAGATTATATTTTACAAATCTCACTTCTTTTTTTACCTACCATTTCACCTCACTCTCGTTCACTTTTTGAACGTTTATTTTCATTTTTTTTAACTTTGTCCCCACCAGCAAGGCTTATTTTCTAAAAGATTATGTTTTACAAATCTCACCTTTTTTGACAACTAAGTCCACTTTAAACGGTTTTAATACCGTAGCGACTTGATTTTGTTCGCATAAACTCTCTAAATTTGTATATTTCAGCCCTCTTTCTATTGGACTCCCTAACGTCCTTCCACTGTTAAATGAAGTTTCCTTAAGAATAAATTTCGCTATTAATAGCAGCTCTGTTCACGGCAATTTGTTACGCTCTTCAGCTAAGCTAGGCCTTGAAATTTTACCATTAATATAACATTACACTTAGACTCAGGAGGGGTTATGCATAACCTTGCTATTGCGTATTGGGAGAAAACTCAAGTGCACCCTACACATCTACAGCGCAGTATTGCGTATATAGGCATAATATGAGGTAACAACATTCTATGTTTGATTAAACCTATTAGTTTAATTCACATACTGTATATATATTTCATTTGTTCGTTCCGTTTTAGATACTTCAGTGTCGTGTCTAATCCATTTCTTTTAATCTGCTCGTCTCTAAGGAGCGGAAGATCGTTTCGTTCCTTTTCTTTGTTATTGTCGGTGTTTTTCGTCATCAATTTCCCCTTGCTCTCGCCGTTCGTTAATATATCGTTAGTTTACAAGATAATAAATTATAATAGTATTGATTATGATTTAGTGACTAGTAGCTGTAATTTTCTATCCACGTTTTAGCTGCATGGCTGTCGCACTTTCTTGTTCCAAGTGACGTGATCTAAAATCGACTGTATTGTAGAGTACTATACCGAACTGCACCTGTTACATACTTTGTTTAATGTATTAGTCCAGGGTCTACTAACACCACCCACCCCCATGCACGCCCCTGCTTTATAACTGAAATTATTTTTTTTAGTTACCTATACATATAAGCTTAAAAAAACAACTAGTTACTCAAGCGATTTCTGTTTGCCAGTACATGTAAACCAACATAAAAAATGGGTACCTTTTTTCGTATAAAGCAGGGGGTGCACCT